GCTTCCCCTGAATAGGGTCTAGTAGTGTTGATTTATAGTGGTTAATACAAAAGATCTAGTTGATCTAAACACAAATTTAGCTTTGTTTGAAATTTCTGTACTTCCATTGAACATATTATTGTCCATCTAAATGATTAATTACTATAAATGTAAGAAACTTACCTCATATTGCTATTACATATACATTTATGACAAAGTAGAAGTTAAACATAAATTAATCTTTGATAGGTAAAATATTGTATTTTTAACAAGTACAAATAGAAATATTATTACTTTTTCCACTCTCTGACATTTTATAAGAAGTTGGGGGAACAGTGCCTAAACTAGTTTAAATGGATTAGATGAGATAGTTAAAAAGAACTCATTAGAAAGTTTTCCTATTAAATTGAGTTTGCAACTGATAGCAGAGTATCAAAAAGCTCAATTTACTTAAATGCTTATCTTGTTAAATATTACTGTCCTGGAAACTAGTGATTAAACAATTCTTCTAGGCAATAGTTGAATATAAAAATTAGTATAACTGCCTATACCTCACATTTTATCCTACTAAAAAGTACAGCATTAAGTTTTCACATTGTACTCTGTAACCACAAACCATTAACTGTCTCAGCATGCTACTAAATGGTGTATTCTAATTGAATGTGGCTCTGATTAGCTCTTAAATGAGCTTATCTTAAATAAACTGAATGGTATCCAAGAGTGTTTGTTTGGTAAACATAATATTTGAGGGATCTTATTAAATATAAGAAAACATACATGGCAGTTACTAAATGAAGAAACAGAACTGAATTTTAAACAAGTATAGTAGACATGTCTATCATTTCCTTTATTAGATACTAATTTTCTAGAATCTACCGTGACCACGGACGCTTGAAAGGCAGACTTCTGTGACCTTCTCACGCTCCTCCTCATGTCCAACCATGGATAATCATATAGCCCAAAGCTACAGACAATCAAGAGAATTACTGATAAGAGATGCTGAGCAGTCACAATTTAGAGTTGTGCTGGTGGTTGCAGTGGGCATTATATGAGTAAGAAGGTGGTAATAGATAAAGAGAAACGGAGTAACTCAGCAACAGGGAGAAAGGTGGGAGCAGATTTTAGAGCCCATAGGGCTTTTGAAAATAACAGAGTGGTATCAGTTTCTGACATCCCAAATCCAGATTCCATAAAGCCTAGCATTAATCATTTTAATTCTTTGGAATCCTGAGACATCTGCAGCTTTATAACAAACAACTTTTTAGTTGACCTAGTTTAAGTTGGTTTCTGTACCTTGAAACCAAAATAATTTGACAGCATACATGAAATAAAATACAGCAGAACATCTCAATATGCTTTCTTTCTTATGAAAAATGGAATAGGAATATCTGCTAGAAAAGCACAAGTTTAACTGTGTCCCTGTGAATACAAAATTCAATTGTGAGTTTACATGTTTTCTTTCATATGACCAGTTGAAGCTTCACATAAAAGCAGAAGAATGAGTCAAAGAGACTGGCAGAAGGGGAAGTCCAGGAGATTTTAAGCATGAGAAGGATTCAAAACACTGATACTGGTTCTGACACACAGGAGAAAATAGTCCCCCTAGGAGTTAAGGTCAATCCCAGCTGACAGGAAATGAGGACTGCAACCATAAGGAATTAGATTCTACCAACAGCCTGAATGAGCGTGGAAGTGGATACTCCTCAGAGTCTTCTCATAAGAATTCAGCCAGCCAACACATTGATTTTGTTCCTTGTGAAATCCAGAGCAGAGAAACCAGCTGAGCCAAATCAGATTTATGACTTATAGATCGATGAGCTAATAAATTTGTGTGTTTTAAGCCACTAAATCTGTAGTAATTTATTTTAGTAATAACAGAAAGCTAATAACACTAACTCAGACCATCTTTCCCCAGTTGAGCGTTAAGATGACTACAACCACGTAAGAATCACAGCTGAGTCTAGCCCAATTACTGATCCACAGAAGCTTTTGATGTTTTAAGTCACCAAATTTTCAGATGGTCTGTTAAGCAGCAAATAACCGATACAGAATTAAGTACTGAGAACTGGAGTCTGCTGTATTAAAAATCTAAAGCGAAGGGCCCTGGCTTGGAGACTAAGTGAAGGGTAGAGCCTTGAAAAGTAGAGAGCAAATTGTTAGTGAAGGCTGCAAATATGGTGATGAATCTGTGATAGGAAGCTAGAAGTAGAAACCATGTGCCTAGATAATATACTTCAGTAAGAGTGTCAATAGTGAGAGGAGCATAGTCAGATGCTTGGGAAACAGACACATTTAAGGGGTTCAGAGAGAAAGAGGCTACCAGTAAAGGAGACTGACAATTACTGTTTGCGGAAGTAGGCAGAGGAGCAGGAAAGAGTGATTCAAGCAAATCAGTAAAGAAGGGGCCAGAAAGTTGTTTGTGTGTGTGTATCAAAGAATTTCTCTAAGTATATACAGTGAAATGATAATGGTGATCATCCTTGAATAGTAGGATTACTGTTGGTTTTTTTCTCCTTTTTATTAGTATTCTCTAATTTTCCTATTACAAATATATGTAAGCCAATGTTTTTTTTTCACTCTAACATTAATAAAGACATCTTCCTCTACAAAGAGTGTTCAGAAACACTAAAATGCAACAGAGAAACAAATAAAAAGAAAAAAGAAATTCACTTGATCTGGCATTCAACAGACTGTTCACAATTAAACAAAAACCATTTCATTTGAATTTGGAAGATGAATGGAGGTTGAGGAATGAATGGGAGCATCCACTTCACAGAGCTGTCCTATGTACTAAACAAGAAAAAGTGGGTAAAGAGCTTGACCTTATTATTACTATTATTTTACTATCATCATTTCTTGTTTTCCTTGATGTATTATAAAAGCATCCCTTCTCCCACAAAAAAGGAAAACTTAGAAAAGTATTTTATTGAATAAAAAAATGAGAGAAAGGTATTTATTTACTTGAGCAGTGCCTTATCCAAACACCTCACTCAAAAATTATTGCTAGGTCCCAGATATCTTTATACAATTAAACCTCAGTAATTTGAATTCCCACTTCATACAAACACTGGTTAACACAAGGTATGTGCTTGTTCCCTTAGTACCTTGAATTAACATTTTGAACACTTTTAATTTTTTGGGTTCTGTAAAAGGAACTTTTTAAGGTATTTTTGGCAGGTGCTTTGGCTAGCTTCACTGAATCTATTCATTAGTACAAGGGGGCATTTTCCACTGGTTGCAGACCAAACTTAAGGTAAAGATTACTGTGTAAACATTCCTGTTTACTTGTCATGGTAAATCATTTGATTTATGGATGAACTAGTTCACTATACACAATAGTTTTGTTTTATAATTTAAAATATAATATATAGGGGCCAAGACAGATGGTTGGTAACAAGAACAATACAATACTGTGAGGTTTTAAATAAAGTGACTGATAATATAATTTGTATAGTTATATTGCAATCATCATCGTCATCACAATTATCACTTTACCTTTATGTGGAGCAGAAGTTTCTCCTAGAAAATGGAAATGAATGTACCTCATATTTAGTAACTATTTTGGTTATGCCTTGTAATAGCCAGAGTTCTCCAAGATAGAAGCAATAGGATGTGTACATATAAGAGATTTTTAAGAAATTGGCTTACCTGATTTTGGAGGTTGACAAGTTCACAATCTACAGGATGGACGGAGAGCCAGGAGACCCCAGGAAGAGGCAATGCTGCAGTTCAAGTCGAAGGTCTTCTGCTGCAGAATGCCCTCCTACTCAGAGGAGGTCTATTTTATTCTATTCAGGACTTCAACTGATTGGATGAGGCCCATCCACATTATGAAGGGTAAACCGCTTTACTCAAAGTCCACCAATTTAAATATTAATCTCATCTAAAAAACCCTCACAGAAACATCTAAAATAATGTTTGATCACATATTTGGGCACCACAGACCAGACAAATTGACACATGAAATTAATCATCAACCAGCATTATTATGGTGTTATAACTCTGTCAATAAGAATTTGCCTTATGTCATAGATTAATTTTGATTGATTTAAAAAATTTGTTAGCACTGGAAAATTTCTCTGTCGGTATAAAGTTAACTGTGAGGTTTACTTGTTTACTAGTCACATGAAAAAAAATCTCTTCAGAGATAAGTATCAACTATTGGCCACAATTGTACTTGACAGAAACCAGTCCACAACTGAGTTATAAAACAACAATCATTTTATTCTTGTTCACACATCTGAGTGCTGGTTGGTGGTTGGCTGATTCAAACTCAATTTGGCTCAAGGTTATAGGTTAGGTCCAAGTCTACTCTATATATCTTTCTTGGATCAGTGGGACTACTGGGCCACCTGGGACATATTCTTCACATGACAATAACAGAAGCTCAGGAGGGTGAACTCAATTGCTGCATTATTTTTTTAGGCCTTCACTTGTGTCTGCTAACAGTTCACAGGCTTTGCTAGTCAAAGTTGAAGCCCAAAATCAAGGGCTGATGAAGTGCCTCCTGCTCACCTTGAAACATGGCAAGGGTGTGGATATACATTACTACTATAAGGAAGTAAAAATTGGGACCACTAAGTCAATCTAGCATAAGATGTTTTTGTACCATTCCAAAGTGAAAGCAATTTTACTTTGCATACGAGACTTATTTCTGTAATTTAATTTATTTATTAAATACTTACTTGGATATTATTATGCATGAGGCACAGATTTTTTAAAAAAAATAGGATATATCTCTTGCTTTATAGAAAATTAGTTTGGTGAAAGATTACAACAAAATAAAAAGCAATTATAGTATAATGTGGTAAGTTCAGTGACAAAGATAGAGAGAGGACAATACACAAATATGAAGAAAGGCATCTATTTCAGCCTAGTGAAAAGGGAAGAATATTGGGAAAATTTCCTGGAAGAGATGTCTTAAAAAGCCTCATGGGAAAAAAAGGGAATTAATTTCTATCAGTTATCTTTTGATACATTAAAACTGCCAAAAAAAAACCTCTCAGAGGAATTTTACTCACATGACTTTGGGTTTGCTGGGTGATTCTGCTTCACACGTTCTTCATTCTCCTCGTGGAGCCAGTAGCTAGGCAGGGTATATTCTCCTCATGGTGATGGCAAAGAGCTGCAGGGACAGCCTGAGGGCATAAACACATAGTGTTCCCTCTTTTAAAATCTCCTGAGCTAGAGCAAGTCACATAATCTAGCTCAACATCAAAGGATAGAGAAGGAAGTGCACTCCTTTTTCTGTGTGTGGGTAGAAATCGAGGCTGCAGGGCAAATGATTACAGGGAGGGGGTAAGAACTGAAGCAAATAATTCAATCTACCACACATGTTAAAAAAAAAAAACACCAAAAACCTAATTTCTTACAAATACTGATCTATCTATACTTGTCTGTCTATCTATCTTATAATATATGAAAAAATATATGTAAGATACATAAATACATTAAAATATATATTTAGTGCGTATCGTGATAGGCACTGTGGTATATGTTTGAACATTAATAAATATGTATTATTACTCTACACCACACTAATTTCTACAGCATTGGGAATGCTTACTGATTCCATGGTCCATAATGATAACAATGATGACATTTATTTAGTATTTAGTTATAATTTTTATGCCATTTTTCTATACTTTCACAGAACTAATTTATAAGACAAATATATAGATACATCAATTAAAATCTTAAATTCTCAGGACCAAATTTGGTAGTTTTTTTTTTTAATTTTGTTAAACATAACATAGAACTCGATTTTGTAGACTGGTTTTATTAAAGTGAAATACAGTGACCATTAACAGCTAACATTCACTGAGCTCTTACCCGCAGTTTATATACATTAATTCATTAAATCCTTACAGAAATTCTTGAGCTTTATATCACAATCTTACAGATGAGGTTCAGAGAAGTGAAGTAATTCCTTATAATCACAAAGCTAATAATAATTTTTCTTTACCCATATATGCCTATCTGTAGCTTCATATCTTAAACATAAATCTGTTTTTCTTCAATTATCAAATATTTCAGACAACAATAATCCAGATTTTCCTACCAAATTATTTTACTCATTTATTTATTAGATGTTAACTGAGCAGTTACAATGTGGAAGAAATTACTACAGGAATTGGAGACAAAGACATTAAAAGGATGATATGGCCCATTACACTCATGAATCTTTTAGTCTGAAAAGTTCAATAAACATGTACTGACTGATTGAATGGCTAAGTAATTGCAGTGGGCCTATCCGTATTTCCCCTTCATATTTTGGTTTCTGTACTATTTGTTTGCAAACCACAAAATGGAGATTTTAAGAGTTGTTCATAAACTAAAGATATGTATCTGAATAAAGAACTAAAGAAATCACCTATAAATAAACTAAATCAACCAGTTAGAATTCTTTTGGTTGTGACAGGAAATGCAACAAAACTGGATGACACAAAAATGGAGGGATACTGGCTAACATTAAAAAAAAAAAAGGTAATGGTAGATCTATCATCCGGTCAGAAACAAAACTGTACCAGGATCAATTTTCGGGATCTACTCGATTCAGAGGCCCTGATCACAGGCCATGCCCCTCTAATTGCTATCTCCAGGCCACTCATAATCACATCATTGAGTTCAGTGTTGAAGAGAGGACCTGCCCTGGCATTCACAGCAAATGTCCTGAAGTGTACTTTAACAGGACCAGTACCTCTGCTCACCCCTGAAATAAACTCTGTGGCTAGATCACGATTGCTTCAAGCCAAAGAGTTTGCCCTGAAGTAGAGAGGGGTAATGCAATTCAAACCTCATAGCTGAGATATGGCAGAGTGGGAAGCAAGTTCCTCCATGTGAGAGTTAAGAGACTTCTTGTAAATATTTTTTGAGGGGTGGCTAAGCTTTATTTCACATATAATAGGTTTCCAGTTCGTTTCAGTTGAGGTATTACTGAATAATTCTACTGACCACAAATCATTCATTTAGCAAATGTTGACTAAATGCCAGACTTCTATTAGTTAGGTACACTGTAAAAATTACCCAGAAGAGGGTAAGACACTGTTTTTGATCTTAAAAAATAGATATTTTCTCTCACTTAATAAACTAATAAACATCTAGCTAAAACTACCTAAAGTATCTATCTAAAAATAGGTCAAGCTTTTTAAAACTTATAAGATAGAAGCAGAAGAAACCTTTAAGCTAGACTTTCCTTTATTCTGGAAGTGGAGAAAAATTACTTTACCACACCTTTTGATTATCAAAAGGTAAAGCAAAGATCCTACTCTGGAATGAACAGTTTAAAAAGAGGAGCCACATTAACATTTATTGTTTCCTTTATGAAAAGGGATCTTTGCTAAATTTGGATAAAGACAATGCTCTGAAAACTATTTCATGAAGATGTGATATCTTTGTGTCTGCCTATCCTTATTCGAACAGTTACTCATAAGGGATAGATCAAGCCAAGACACTAGATAAAGGCAAGAAGGAAACAATGATCTCAAGCACATGAAGAGATTGTAGGGGCAGGACCAAGAGTCCTGCAGTCCAACCTGGATAGTTCAGCTGTAACTTCCTCACTTGGTATTATTCTACACTGGGAAATTTACCAATGTAGAATGATCATTGTTACAGAATGTTTTAGTTTGGGAATGAGGCAGTAGGTTCATGAGTGTTCATATTATTATTATTAGGTTCTATAACATTTATGTTACATATATTTTTATATCCATCTAATACTATATTTCAAGATAAAGTTATAGTTGCTTTTAAAGAAAGAGATCAACTAAAACTTTATCTTGAAATATGGTATTAAGGTCTGGATTAACTTGGAAAAATGTTAACAAATAATTTATTTAATTAATTTAATTTATTTACTTAATTTATTTAATCCTTTCACTTTAAGCCATTCTAATCAAATAGAGAATTAAGCAATAATTACCTTTCTTATCAAGCAGAGAGAAGAAAGGAAAAAAATCTCTAGCATTTGAAGGAAAATCAACAAAGTTTCCTTCTTTTGGCCAATAATACGTCACAACAGGCCACAAAAGGAAAAAGATTATAAAGAAATAAATTATTATTTTTCTAAATCTACTTTATTCAGTAGTCAATTTTTAAAAAAATTAGAAAATAATTATACTTTCTAAATATTATTATAATTAAAACCATTACTACTGTTTTAAAATACTATTATTCATTTTTACATGCCCACATTTTGAATTTGCTTTGGTAAATTAAATTTATATGCATACATTTAATCAATTTAATTAATTGATATTTATAAAATTAATTTCCAGAATCCAAAATTTTGATCATTTAGAAGTTGATTATCTAATTTGTATGCTCTTCAACATTTTTTTTTCTTTCTCGTCTATCAGATGCTTACTGATAATTTTGCTAAACAAAGGTTAAGTTAGACAGGCACAATAGCATTGAACCTAACTTGCTCTTTTCCCAAGATGGTACACTGGGATTTAGAAGGACTCAAAAATGGTATTGGCAAAACTGGACCACTACATACAAAAGAATCAAACTGGACTACCTTCTCACACCGTATACAAAAATAAGTTCAAAACAGATTAAAGACTTAAATGTAAGACCAGAAACCATAAAGTTCTTAGAATAAAACATAGGCAGTACACTCTTTGACATGTCTTAACAATATTTTTTTGAGTATGTCTCCTCAGGTAAGAGCAACAAAAGCAAAAATGAACAATGGACTATATCAAAGTAAAAAGTTTTTGCACAGTGAAGGAAACTATCAACAGAATGAAAAGGCAACTATTGAATGGGAGAAGATATTTGCAAACGATATATATGACAAGGGGTTAGTATCCAAAATATACAAAAACTTAAAAATCCAGTATTTAAAAAAAGCCTATTAAAAATGGGCAAAGGACCTGAGAAGACACAGAGATAGACAAGAGACATGTCAAAAGATTCTCAACATCACTAATCATCAGGGAAATGAAAAGTAAAACCACAATGAGATACTACCTCACACCAGCCAGAAAGGCTATTATCAAAAAGACAACATATAACAAGTGTTGGTCAGAACGTGGAGAAAAGGAAACCCTTAAGCACTATTGGTGGGAATGCAAACTGGTACAGTCACTGTGGAAAACAGTATGGAGTTTCCTCATCAAATTAAAAACAGAACTACTATACAATCCAGCAATTCCTCCTTTGGGTATTAACCCAAAGAAAACAACACTAATTCAAAAAGATACGTGTAACCCTATGTTCATTGCATTATTCACAATAGCCAAATATGGAAGCAACCTAGTGCCCATCAATAGATGAATGGATAAAGAAGAGGTGATACACACACACACACACACACACACACACACACACAAGAATATTTACTTACGACCAA